TTTAAGGAGCTGTGTCGAGACGCTGATGCCAACCCCTGGGGCGACGCATACCGAGTCTTGATGGCGAAGATCAGAGGTCCAACGATGCCCGCTGAAATGTGCCCAGAGAAGCTGAAAGTCATCGTGGAAGGACTTTTCCCGAAGCACGACCCAACAACCTGGCCACCTACACCGTACGGAGAAGGAGAGGGAGATAACGTCAAAATCACCAACGAGGAGCTCGTAGTAGTGGCGAAAGGATTGAAGGTGAAGAAAGCTCCCGGTCCGGATGGAATCCCCAACGTAGCGTTGAAAGCGGCGATCCAGTCATCCCCGGACATGTTCAGGATGGTGCTGCAAAAATGCCTGAACAAGGGTCACTTCCCTGACAGGTGGAAGATACAGAAGCTAGTGTTGCTGCCGAAACCAGGAAAACCGCCGGGGCATCCAGCATCATACAGGCCTATATGCCTGCTGGATACACTCGGAAAACTCTTGGAGAGGATCATCCTAAACAGGCTGACGAAATACACGGAGAGTGAGCACGGATTGTCGGAGAGGCAGTTCGGATTCCGGAAAGGGAGATCGACGGTGGATGCAATTCGGACAGTGGTCGAGAGAGCTGAAAAGGCGTCCAAACAGAAGCGGAGAGGAGATCGATATTGCGCCGTGATAACGATCGACGTCAAGAATGCGTTCAACAGCGCCAGCGGGAGGCCATCACCGAAGCACTGCATAGAATGAGGGTCCCTGACTACCTGTGCAGGATCCTGAGGAGTTATTTCCAGAACCGGGTTCTGGTCTACGAGACAGACATGGGACAGAGATCGATTAGGATCACAGCGGGAGTTCCACAAGGCTCCATCCTTGGTCCAAAGCTCTGGAACGGGATGTACAACGGCGTGCTAACGCTGAAACTGCCCAAAGGAGTTGAGATCGTTGGCTTTGCGGACGACGTCGTCTTGACGGTAACAGGCGAGACGCTGGAAGAGGTGGAAGTGTTGTCAACCGAGGCAATCGACATGATTGGTAACTGGATGAAAGGAGCGAAGCTGCAAATAGCCCACCACAAAACGGAAGTGTTATTGGTCAGTAACTGTAAAGCGGTACAGCGGGCAGAAATCACCGTCGGGGAGCACACCATAGCCTCGAAGCGTGTGTTAAAATACCAGGGAGTGATGATCGATGACCGGCTAAACTTCAACAGCCACGTCGAATATGCCTGTGAGAAGGCTTCGAAGGCCATCAACGCGATAGCTAGAATCATGCCAAACAACGCTGGTCCCAGCAGTAGCAAGAGGCGTCTTCTGGCCAGCGTGTCATCATCGATACTGAGATATGGAGGTCCAGCCTGGGTTCCAGCGCTGGAAACGAAGCAGAACCAAAGGAAACTGAGCAGTACGTTCCGGCTCATGGCCATGCGAGTCGTGAGTGCGTACAGAACCATCTCGTCGGAAGCAGTATGCGTTATCGCCGGTATGATCCCTATCGGCATCACCCTGGCGGAGGACAGCGAGTGCTACAGGCAGAGAGAAGCCGGAAGAGTACGGAAAGTTGTGAGAGTGGAGTCATTGGCTAAGTGGCAACAGGAGTGGAACACGACGGAGAACGGTAGATGGACACATAGACTAATACCGATTCTTTCGACCTGGGTGAACAGAAAACACGGAGAAGTCAATTTCCACCTAACGCAGTTCCTGTCTGGCCACGGCTGCTTCAGGAAATACCTGCATCGGTTCGGACACGCAGCGTCACCCCTCTGTCCGGAGTGTGGCAACGTCGATGAAACGCCGGAGCATGTGGTCTTTGACTGTCCAAGGTTCGAGGCAGTGCGAACGGAGATGCCCGTCCTTAACGTGGAGAATGTCGTTGATGAAATGTGTCGAGAGGAGGACTCTTGGAATGCCGTCAGCAGGGCAGTCACACAGATTATGTCAGAGCTGCAGCGTAAATGGAGAGAAGAGCAGCGATCTAGCAACTCCAGCTAGCGCTGAGAGTACGACAAGTGCATGAGCACAGCCACCCCCCGAAGTAGTCGCTTCACAGTGGTCCCGGGGGGATCCAGGCAGAGGAGAGAGTAAGGAATGGGTTTTAGTGGAGCTGCACTAGGCAACTAGTGGATACCACACCGTGCCACCTTCACTACAGGCCAGGCTTCTTGAAACTTTCCTAAACCTTACTATAAAAAAAAAAAAAAAAAAAAAAAAAAAAAAAAAAAAAAAAAAAAAAAAAAAAAAAAAAACACACACACACACACACACACACAATGCGTACTTTCCAATCTTCCCCAACTATTCACCTAATCGCCTCTGCAAAACCCATTTCCTTTATAAGTTCAATAGTTCAGTTTTGAAAGGGAGATTGTTGCGCTGCCAGTGAAATGTTTGATGCTCAAAATATACAATTCTAACGCTGAAAATGTTACAGCTACGGAACTGTTTGGATTGCGAATGCTACCAACAGCTATAGTATGTAAGTATATTGTTAGTTTCTGAACATTAAACTTTCTTATAATTCTAGGTTATCCTGATATTCGATGCCACTTTTCTCGATTACAAATGTTTGTCGTTGTTTCTTGTTTATAAAACTTATTTAAAATCAAATTTCAATCAATGGTTAGCATTTGTAATGATATCCTTATTTGGGAATTGCAATGCCGTTTTCTATAGTTATACATTTTTTCGACAATCATTAACAGGCTAGATGAGCCGAGAGATGAGCTATAGTCGGGTGAGGTTATGTTTGATAGAGCTGCTGCAGACAGGGTTGCTTCCACTCACTTGCTATAAAAAAATATTATTCGGAATTATGCAATCATTAGATGCAATAATGCTATGTTGTACTTGTAAGTAACAAGAAGAAGTAGTAAAGTATGTGCTTGACTCATAAAACCTGTCATCTTTGCTTTGAGAGCGTCACAATTAGCGATCTTATGATTCGTGAGCGTTCACTCAGAGTGAGCGCTCACGAGTCGTAAAATCGCTGATTGTGACGCACTGAAAGCAATTTTGACAGATTTTATGTGTCTTACATATACTTTGTGACCTCTTCTTGTAACTTGCACGTACTAATTAGTATTATACTATATCATGATTTCATAATTCCGAAAAACATTTTTTATAGCAAGTGAGTGGAAGTAACTCTGGCTGCAGAGGTCATATCAACAAATTTCTATTAAATGGGTACGTTTACCCATTTTTGGGAAGGTTCACTTTTGACCAAACTGGGTAGATTCTACGCATTTTTGATTAGTTTTCAAGCAGCGTGTACTGCAGCATACATGAAGTAGCAATTTCAGATGAAATGGGGCATTAACTTCCAAGATGTGTGTTATTGAAAATTCGAAGTGGAAGTGCATGTATAGCCTACGTGGTGGCCATTTTTTGACTCTACAAGGAATCACCTATAGGAGATTTTAAGCCGTAGGCTTGTTCATCTCCATACTCACCCACTGAATAACCTCACTTTTAGCATTTTTTTAGTCGAATTCGGCTCACTTTTGGGTAACTCTTATCGGCCGTGCATTAAAGGATGGAGGACTTTTCATCCTTTCGTTTTGCTGCGGGATTCAGGTGGCTTGGAAAACGATGGCGACGACGACGACGACGACGACGATGGACTAATTTCTTTTGTGTGGGTGGATTTTACTGCAGAAAAGTTCTAAGCCGACATGATCCCACACGGACAGGTGCCGGCAGGAAGGTGAAAAGAAAATATATTGGTGGAATCAACAACACACGACTTCATTAAAACCGGCATAAATAAGGTACGGAAGACGTTGCTGATGTCATCGTCTAACGGAATCGTCCTGCCTAATTGAGTGTCATCGATAGTCGATAAATCAATTGCATTCCTTTCCACTTGACATCGTTAGATGAAAGGACATTTTCATTTTTGTAACGTTTATGAAGATGGTTATGAATGCTCGTTAGTGAGGAATTTCCCAGAGCCGGAAACTCAAAGGACTTATTTCCTGGAAAATCTTAACCGTAGAAAAACATCAGTAAGTGATTGGAAAGGAAATTTGTAATTTGGCATCTTTAACAAAGCCGAGAGCGGTGTCTTGGGCATAAATGGCGAACGCTGGCACGCGACTCGCACATTTATTCACATCAGACTGGCATTTTTATCGTCGGATTATAAAAAGACGCCCACCCCTTTGCTTAGAGCATAGGCTACGATTGGAGAGCTAGCAACACGTGGCATGAAAGCTGCAAAGGTTAGCCTTAATTCAAGAGTGAATTTTCAATTCGCGTCAATTTGTGGAAATCCACGCAACCTAACACTGCCATAATGTTGGGGAAACTTTTGCTGGTGTTAGTTTGAATATTTGTTCATAAAATCAGATACGGCTATTTGAAGCGTCACTCTTGAATTACCAAAATAAACTTTTCAGCGCCCAAAAAATACCTACCTTATTCGGGAGACGATCCAAGCTTTGCTTTGAAATTTTACTGCGCACCCAACTCGCATCGTTTCTGTACATATTCGCAAACAGTCCCCGATGACCTGACAACGGTCGTTCGAGACACAGGGCAGGCAAAAAAAAGGGATAATCGCAAGAGTTATCGATGACATGACAGATTTTCCCATTTTCGGCCTTCTGCTTTTGCGGTCTTTCCGCAAAGTCATTTCTCATCAGAGGCAATCCTTTTTTCCCCCCCGAACACGACGTTTGATCCTTTCGCCGGCATAATCCAATCTAAGACTCATTATTGCTTTTTGATTATGGAGATCAATGGAGGTAATTTATTAATTTCCATCATCGACATTCGCATAGGGGTAATAAACGGTGGAGAAGTTTCTCTGCCTGCTTACTTCTAACAATGGATGAGTGTCGGAAAACTGCAAAACCTTCGTCATCGTCATTAATTAGCGCTGGAATTCACCCGACCAAGAATCATACCATCTGCAACTGGGACTACCCGTCGAGGGAGACGAAGACATTAACGTGAAGTCCATAATTAACAACAAATGAAACTTGATGCTGCCCGAAGTTTCAAACTGCCGGTGGCACTTACCTTACGCTTCGATTTGGCCATCCGCTGGTCCCGGGAATTTTCCGCCTCGCCGGGGGGCCGTTTTCCCCAGACTACAATGGCGATGCGGGTGTAGGTGTAGATCAGCACCAGCAGCGGTATCACGAACTGCGTTATCAGCACGGTGGTCGTGTAGTAGCTCTCCTGTTCCTTCGAGGGCCACTCTTCCTTGCAGATTTTGCTGTTGTTTGGAGTGCGGAGAAGAACGAGAGAAAGGAAGGAAAATGAAAGCAAATTTGGTAAGCTGGTCTATTTATGAGAGGTGCTTGTGAGCAAGAAGTTGACGTCCCACGGGACCGGACGTCTGAATTCATAATTCCTCTTTCGGAGGTTTTTAAGTGGACTAAGAGAGGCACAGTGTTGTGATAATTATTGATAGCCTTCAAATTCCAAGCTGCCGTTAAGTCGGAACCAATGCAAATTAATGAAAACATCGCGCATTCAAAACACTTCTGTAACTTGGCGGCTTCTTCTGGGATGCATCAAATATTGCTCTAGGGTTTCTTTGAAATTTGCCTTGGTAAGCTTGTGAGGCTCTCTTGGCTTTCTCTGTAATTTTCCACGCAATGAACTTGGAAATCTTTACAAAATTCATCTGGAGCCAAACGATTAAACTTCCTAAAAATGTTAATCATGGATTCCTCCATCCTTTGATATTTTCATTGATCTTCACTGAATTTCTAAGAAACTTCTGCAAAATTTGTATGGCATTCCCTTAAAAACTCCTCAAGAGTTCGCCGTAAAATTCCGCGTAAATTCCTATTGGAAATCCGTGGAATCCTTTTTAATATTCCTCTGAAATTCACCACGGAGTACATCGGTTATTTCTCTAGAAAATTTCAAAAAATATAGCCCCGAAGTTCTTCTTGAACTTTCAATATTCTTCAAGAGTTCTGCTCGTCATTCCTCTGGAATTCAATAAGATCTGCAATGTAATGATCCTGGCTTTCACAGTATGATGGGAACTCGGTGTCCAGAAGGTCGTGAGGTCAAAGGTCGTTAGTGCGTAGGCCGTTAGGCCAAAGCAAGCATAGGAAATCACTTACATTCATTTCGTGCATTCATTTATAAGGGTAGGCAGTATAAAACGGAATTGTACGGAATTTCACGAAACATTTAGGTTTTGGCTATGAAAGCAACAGAATTTTGAAAGTTTAACATGCGGAAAATGATTTTGCATACCAGATCTCTCAGTTGAATATAGTATTTGCTGTTTGTGATGGCTATTGCCAGAAATTTAACAAAAAAATGGTCTGGCCTTTAGACATTAGTTCTAATTAAGGGGTAATAAACTCTGCCCACCTCAATCTGTACCGGTTGTTTTAGCGGTGCCAAAAGCTGTGCCAAATGCCACGCTGAAGCGTGCCAATCAAGTATCCCATGAGTTTGGCAACACTGAAATTTTAATGACTTTTAAAGGCTAACTAAAAGTAAATTGGTACGCACAAAAAGTCCTGTAATTCGTGATTCAATAAGTTTAAAAAGTCAATTAATGGTTGATTTACAGTACTTTTATTAAAACTTCCAGATTACAGCATTATATGGTTACATTTCTCCAGTTCGAACGAAATCTCGAATCTTCCTCTAAATGGAACCCATCAGCGCCCGAATTTGCTGGATGTCCTTGACTGCCCCGTCGCTTCGTCAAAGTCGCTGCTTTGAAATTACCCAGTATTTTTCGATTGGTCGAAACTCCGGGCAATTCGAAGGATTCATTAGCTTGGGGACAAAATCGATCTTGTTGGCAGCATACCACTACAGAACCACCTTGGAGTAGTGGCAGCTGGCCAAATCGGGCCAAAAGATGACTTTGCCCCCATGCTTGCGGATGAACGGTAAAACACGCTTTTTCAGGCATTCATCGATGTAAACTTGGAATGTCATCGTCGAGGATGTGGTTCCGTTTTCTGGCCACATCTGCAAATCGCTTGCCAGTCGCTTCTTCGCGAACTTGTCGGCCAACACGAACTTGAATCTTCCCAGTACATCCCCACGTTCAGTCGCGATGTAAAACTTTTCACCGGGAAGCTGCTTAAAATCGAGTTTGACGAATATTTCGTCATCGATCAAAGTGCAGTCCTTGTGTTTCGTCAAAACACGGTCTTACAAGAGCCTTGCACGCTTTTTGGCCACGGAATTCTGCTTTATGTGCCGGTTCGGATGTTTACTGGCTACAATTGTATCATTCCCTGACAAGGGAAACGTTTGAAAGTTGGCGTTGTACCTTCTGGCCACATATCGGATCGAAAGACCGGGGTTGGCTTTAATGCACCTCAACACCTTGCTGCGCAGCTGATAATCCCTGGTTCTAGTTTTTTCGTAAGTCCGCTGATTCTTTTCCACTCTCAGGGTTTCCTTGTAGGTTTTGAGCACTCGATAAACCGTTGTTTTCGGCATCTTCAGCAGTTTAGCCAGCTTGGAACCGGACCACTCCGGATTTTACATGTGTTTGTGAACAATATTTTCTTCTTCTTTCGAGTTCCATTTGACGTTATTTCTGAACGCGATCGACTACTTTGATCAAATTTGCACCAGTTGTTCTCTATAGAAGTGTAAACAAACCACTGTCAAATATTTACGATTCTCAACACTAGAGGCGTGCTAGCGGCGCACGAGGGGCGTATCAATTTACTTTTAGTCAGCCTTTATGATTGTTTGTTTGTGATTGTGCAAGAAAATGAAGCGTGATGAATTGATGTATTCAACCTAAAATCACTGCTGCAGTACGAAACTTCCATCCGAATAAGCAAACTGGGCAAAGTAAACCAAATCTGTTCCAAAATATGGGCCGTTTATCACCAACAAAACACTGATGTAGCCCGGGCGGAAACCGGTTCCGAAACCCAACTTCGGCGGATCCTCATCAATTCGGAAACGCTCGTCAACCACGTTCGATTTGTAGCTACGACGCTGTGATATGTGGCAGTCTGAATGCTAGAGGTACCACGCATATTGTGCGAAAATTCTTCAAATTTATGGTTCAGCTTCGGTAAACATAATTAACTTAAGTTATCGACGCACGACCAATATCTTAATGAAAGAAAAATTCACCTCTATGACAACAATCGAATTCAAATTGAACGAATAACGGGTGGAATGATTCAATCATAATTCAATAACATAGCAAATACGAAAGCATTGCAATACTCAATCCGTTTCCAAATCAGCACCAAAATTTAGTAAACAATCCTTACGTGTGCTAGGACGTGTGTCTTAAAATAATAGAGATGAGAAGCGAAAATTTTGTCAAAGATATCAAGAAAATGGCTGGTTCAAAATACTCACAGAAACTCTCAGAAAACATCGGGTAAACAAACAAAAACTTGTCTAGCAACGATGGTAACGAACTACACTGAAACAACGATCATAGTTAGGAATAATATTTTGCAGAAAACACTTATTTTCAATATAACCACGCTTATTATCGTTAAATCTACTATGGATTCAGTATAGTTGACTATGAAGGTTAACAAATTTACTAGCCAGAACTTTCAGATAGTTATCCGATGGCCACGCACAGGATGAAATGTTTGGAGCAACGACGTTTGCAAGCAGATCAAGGAGTATCAGCAGAAAGGCTATGCGCATCTGGCAAGTGTCGAAGAATTAGAAGAAGCCGAACCGGGAAAAGTTTGGTAACTTCCGCTCAACGTCGTCCTTAACCCAAAGAAACCGGGAAAAGTACGACTCGTGTGGGATGCAGCAGCAAGTGTGAAAGGAATATCCCTGAATTCCTTACTTCTCACAGGACCTGATTTGCTGGTATGTAACTCACCGTATTTTGCCAATTTATCGAACGACCGATCGGTTTCGGTGGAGACATCCGCGAAATGTACCACCAGATGCAGATTCGTCCAGCCGACAGACGAGTGCAGCGATTCGTCTTCCGATCGAATCCCACAGAAGCACCTAGTATTAACGTTATGGACGTAGCTACTTTCGGATCGAAAAGTTCTCCATGTTCCGCCCAGTTCGTAAAGAACAAGAATGCGATGGAGTTTGCAGTACAGTATCCGGAAGCCGCCGCAGCAATCGTGAAGAAACACTACGTCGACGACTACTTCGACAGCGTTGATACCATCGAAGAAGCGATACAGCGGTCAAAGCAGGTGAGATTTATACATTCGAAAGGGGGATTCGAGATAAGAAACTGGGTATCCAATTCGGAGGAAGTCCTAGTCAGCCTTGGGGAACCGAAACCCGTCCAGACGATTCATTTCAACCAGGAGAGACTGGAAATGAACGCGTACTCAGTATAATTTGGAATCCAGCTGATGAGAAAGTGTGTCTGGTGTAGAGTGAATCGCTGTTATGCAGAGGTCCAGTTGAGGTCCAGTTGAGGTCCCGATGATGGCTCCACTTCCGGTTCAGCGAATCACCCGACAGCTTCGACCTTTCAGTGCTGTTGGAGTCGATTATCTAGGACCTGTGGAAGTGACGGTTGGTAGAAGAAAGGAGAAGCGGTGGATCGCCCTGTTCACGTGCCTGGCTGTACGTGCGGGGCACTTGGAAGTAGTGCATGGATTGACAACGCAAGCATGTCTCATGGCCATTCACAGATTCATCTGCAAACGAGGAGTTCCAGACGAAATCTTCTCCGACAACAGGACAAATTTCAAGGGAGCCAGCAAGGAGTTGATTGCTTGGGTGAAGCGAATTGACAGTGAATGTGCGGATTCAGTGACGAGTAGCACAACTAAGTGGAACTTCAATCCTCCTGGTACGCCACACATGGGTGGTATGTGGGAGAGGATGGTTCGATCTGTAAAGGAGGCGATGAAGGCACTCGACGATGGCAGACGTCTGACTGACGAAATTCTATTAACTACCCTGGCTGAAGCGGAAGATATGGTAAATAGTCGTCCGCTAACGTACGTACCCCAGGAATCAGCAGATTCCGAAGCGCTAACACCGAACCATTTTCTTCGAGGTACGGTCAAGTCCGTCGATGTTCACGTAGATGGTTCGGTGGACTTAGCAGAAGCGTTGCGCGACATTTACAAGCGATCGCAGTACTTGGCGGACCAGATGTGGCAGCGTTGGTACAAGGAGTACTTGCCAACGATCAACAAGCGTACCAAGTGGTTTGCTGAGAGGAAGTAATTGAAGAAGGGAGATCTCTTGTGTGTGTAGTAGATGGACAGAACCGGAAAAGCTGGGTTAGAGGTATTGTCGGGGAAG